AGTTGCTTGTCGTTCGAGTATACAGTTTGAATCGCTCTGATATGTAACATGAGGGGACAAACTGTTATGTTATTTATTTCATGTTGCATATCTTCATTTGCTTTTAACATTGAACAATTTTTCAAACTTTTGGTTGTCGAGGCTTCTATGGCAACTATTTTCTAATTTTCCGCTGTTTATTAAATGAGTTTTTTTTTAAATACGTGGTTCAAATATGAGTTGTTTGTTGTTTGAGTAGAATCCTACTTGTAGGTTATACATGTTTTACGTGTTTTATTTACTTAATTATCGATTTAGGAAGTAGAACGTTACATTTCTTCCATGTCATTGTGGCATGTTCATATGCTCGTCAGGACCCTTCTAAACATCTTTGTGTCGTTTGCAAAGTCATAAGTATTTTCAAAGTGTACAACAATAGCTTTCAAGTGGTTACAAAGGATGATATTGGCCTAGATATCAAGGGGACATATTTTTGCACAATAAAAATATGTGAAGGAAGAAAAAAGGTTGTCGTAACAACAGGTGTATTAGAACCAAAATGGATTAGGCTGATAAAATGGTAAGATTATGTTGTATATGTCGTCAGCCCAGACACACACAGAAATGTTGTCCCGATCTTGGAACAAACTCCACAACATTATTATTGTATTAACTCTTGATATGTAATTTACTTTTTGTAACAAAAAATAATAATATTGTACACAACTTTAGGTTATAACAAAACGAATACAAACACGCCTAAAACAACAACACAAAGAACATATTAAAGGACTTAACACTGCAACATATCTAAGATATTACGACCATCAAAACAATATCATCAACTCCATACAATATAACATAGACATCACTGCCAATTTTAATTGACCCACCCACAATGTGCTTCGTTATTCTCATTCGCAATGTTGAACATTGAAACAAGTCTATAAGTTCTTCTATTTATTCATCATCTCTAATTTCTCAATCTAACCAACATATTAAGCTTCTCTTAAGATGCTCAAAACTATGGATGTTCCAAAAACACATCTTTATCGGAGGCTTGAGAATCGAATAACAAACATACCAATCTCTTTTAATAATCATGTTAGAAAAAATGAAAAATTTAAGAAGAAAATGATAAGAGGTGTGAAAAAATGGTGGGGAATGAAGTACCTATTTATAAAAAATGCAAATACACATAGGCGTCAAACTTATTGGCACCTCCTATTTGTCCTATGACATTAGCACCAATTTCGCTAGCGCATTGGTGCTGTAGTCGCCAGTGTGTGTGTGACGCGTAGGTTCAATTTTGAGTGCATGTGCCAAGCACACATGTTATATGCACCATTGTGCAAAACTAAACACACAAATTTATTTGAACTTGTCCACACTGATTTGTTGGGACCATCACCTGCCCCTTCAAGTAGTGGATACTCCTACTATATTGAATTTGTTGATGCCTTTTCCAGGTACACTTGGATATACTTATTCAAGCACGAAATCAATGTAATAATTGCATTCAAGTTGTTTCAGAGTTATGTTTCTACTCAGTTTAATGTCAAGATCAAGGCAATTTAGTTTGACTTTGGTGGAGAGTTCAGACCTTTCATGAAATTGCTTAATGAAAAAGGTATCATTCATAAACTAACATGCCCTCACACTTCTCATTAGAATGGAATAATCTAGAGGAAACATAAACATATTGTAGAGATGGGTTCACTTTGTTAGCATATGCCTCTACGCCAATCATCTTTTGGGATCATAGCTTTACAATTGCAGTATACTTGATCAATAGGCTTCCTACTAGTGTCTTTCATGATTACATCTCACCTTTTCAAGTACTCTTCAACAAACAACCTGAGTATAATGCAATCAAATTTTTTAGATCTGCATGTTTTCCTCTGCTCATGCTATATAACAAAAACATATTGGAATTTCAAACTGCTCAATGTACATACTTGGGAGTCTCACCAACTAACAAAGGAAAAAAAATATATCAATTTGGAAGTGATGATTTTCATTTCCAAAGATGTCATTTTCAATGAAATAGAGTTTCCTTGCTGAACAAGTTTCCTCAAGCCAGATGTGGTTTCTCATACTCAACTTGGCCAGTCATCCAAAAATACAAACTGTATGTTGTCCTTACCTAATTCTAATTATGATTTACACTTAATCCAAGCCACACATCTTCACGTGTTTCCAAGTTCCACAACACAAATGAATTTTGCTGACACAATTATTTCATCTACATACCATAAATACCGTAACTTATTATCTAATGCATATAATGAATACACACCATATGGACAAACTCAACCATTACTTGGAGAATTACTAAGTCTTCACATGTATCAAACTCTTTTTAGACTGCACCTAATACTTTCGCTTCATCTGTCATCCCTCAGTCACCATATTTGTTAGTTCAACCTATAAGTCAATTCCATGCCACAACTTTACAATATAGTAACTCACCCATTAGCACCTCAACCAAACTTTTAAGTCACATCCACCATTCTTTCACACTCAACTTAATCAATCCCTACTTCTAGTTAATGATCATCCCATGATAACTAGGGCCAAAATGGGGAAATTCAAACCTAAAGTCTTCCTAGTTCATTTAGAACAGACTACGACTAAGCAAGCTTTGGCTCAACCTGAATGGTTTCAAGCTATAAAAAAATGAATATGCAGATGGGAAGAAAATTTACTGCAAATGAGTTTTTTAAGTTAAAGAAAATGCAGATGGTACCATAAATAAGTACGAAGCACGACTTGTGGCTAAGAGTTTTCACCAACGACGTGGTTTTGACTTTTACGAGATATTTTCGCCAGTGGTGAAGCCCACCACCATTCAAATCATACTCATTATATCAATCACATGTAAATGGAAGATACAACAAATAGAAATTAACAACATTTTCCTCAATTGTGACCTCCAATATGAGGTATACATACAACAACCACTGAGGTTCCTTAACATAAATGCCACCTTGGTATGTCATTTGGTGAAAGCCATCTATGGTTTAAAACAAGCGCCTCGTGCATGGTATGAAAAGCTTCATCAAGCTATTATTCAATTTGGCTTAATCTCAAGCTAATGTGACCATTCTCTCTTCACCTATCATTACCACAATGTCACAATGTACGCCCTTGTTTATGTAAATAATATATTACTTACAAGTTTATCATCATCTCTACTCCATAAACTCATCGACAAGTTACATACTACATTTGCTCTTAAGAAGCTAAGAATTCCTCAATATTTTTTTGGAATTGAAGTTCATAATCAGACTAGTGGATCCATCAATCTCACACAAACAAAATATATTAGGGAATCACTTGCTAAGAATAACATGACTGAAGTAAAAGACGTGAGTCCTATATTGTTCAACACCTGTAAACTGAGCAAGCATGGAGATGACAAGCTACCTGGTCATTTCCTTTATAAATCCATAATTGGTGTGTTACAATATGTCACATTGACTCATCCAATCATTGTTTTATGTGTCAATAAAGCATGCTAATACATGTCTGAACTTTTCATTCCTTATCTCAAACAAACTCTTCTATGTGACAATCTTAGTGCTATCATGCTATCACATAATGTAGTTTTACATGCACGTACGAAACACATTAAGTTAGACATTTATTTCGTACGTGAATGAGTTGTTGCGAACAAACTTCAAATTCAACATGTTTATGGTCATACTTAGATTGCATACATACTTACAAAACCTCAATCTATTAACCTTTTCGTGAGTTTTAGAGACAAATTCAAGATATCATCTTTTAAACCACCATGAATTTAAAGGGGAGCATTAAAGAATATAAGTTGGTTAGGAGGCTTAGAAGTTAGTTTTGGTAGTTTCAATAACATAACTAACTTGTATCCATTTGTAAGAAAACTATAAATATGAATGTCTTGAACTTCATTCATTTCTATGAAAACATAAATATGAATGTCTTAAAAACTTCATTCTTGAAATGAGAAACATTCATTCAATAACAATACATCACCTTTCACCATGAATGCACTTCTCTATTATATCATGAGTTCTTTCTCATCAAACATCAAACAATACACTAATAAAAAAATTGTGAAGATAAATATCATATAATATACAATAATAATTTATATAAAAAATAATAAAAGAATGACATCATTGTAATCAAACAAAAAAGAAAAAAGTTACAATTAAAGTCGCATTTATTTCATTTCATACATACTAAAAAAAACTAGTAAGTAGAAAAGAAAGTAAACAATATCATTTTATAAATGTGAGCGTGATTGTAATAAGAAGAAAATTGTAAAGCTCCCATGCATTTCTTATTTTCATTTCAAAAAAGCAAAAGGCTTTGATTCAGCATAAAATAAAAGAAATTCCCATGCCATAACCACAACTTGTTATGGTGCATAGCACATTACCACTGCAACGGAGAGAAAATTGGCTATGTGTCAATGTAGAAATACCAGAATGCCCTCGCCAGTTATATACTACTACTAGTGTACTGTACTAGTAAAATTCTCCGACGATATCTGCCACTGTCACCTTTGTTTTGCCCTTTACCATCTTCTTCCTTATGCACGTTCTGTAAAGATCATTCCTCAATTTTATTTTATAATAATACTAATTTTACCACAAAACCCACGGTTAAATTACATTATACCCCATTCAAAGGGATATTTTCGTCACAATTTAAATTCCAACAGTGTCCTTTTTAAAACTACAACACTACATAGGCTCTCTGTCCAAAGTCTCCTTGTCTAAAAAACACAAGTACCTATCACTATTCCCTTTCTTCATTCTCCCCTACTCTTCCACTACATACGAATCAAACCATTAACCCTTCCTTAACTAAACTACATTTTCTTCTTCACATTCAACAACACACAACCACACCACTGTTTCTCAACTTCTTACTTAATGTTCTTGTTTTTTCCACCAACAAAAACATAAATAAATTCACTTTTCCCACTTTTTGCAGAAACCACTACTAGTGTTTTCTTTGATCTAGCCAAAATGGGTTGTTGCTATTCAAGACTAGAGAGGGAAGAAACGGTGACGCATTGCAAATCAAGGAAACGTTACATGAAAAACCTGGTACAGGCAAGACATGCTTTTTCAGCTGCACATGTTATGTACATTCGATCTCTTCGTTCAACTGGTTCAGCTTTGTTTCACTTTGCTAACGCTGAAAAAACCACTCATCTTAATCACCATCTTCCACCTGAGCCACAGCCAATTCTTCCACCTCCGCCGCCGCGTGCTCCGTCGTCAATGCCGCCTCCTCCTCCACCGCCGATGAGTCCGAGTTTGAGTTCTTATACTTGGACTTCCGGGACAGGTTCGTCTCCTCTTCCTCCGCCTCCGCCGCCGCCTCCTCCTCCTCCGGTGATGTCCTCCGGTTGGGATTTCTGGGATCCTTTCATGCAGCAGCAGCAGCCTCCGCCTCCTTCGTCGAGGTCGGCTACTGAGGAAGAGTGGGAAGCTACGACAACTACTGGCTCTGAGGTGGTTGTGATGGCTGGTGGGGCTGCGGCGAGTATGGCGACTCCGTCGTCTGGTGTGGTGGGGTTTTCTAAGGAAACGCCTAGTGAACTTGCAATGGTGGTTTCTAGAAACAGTAAAGATCTGGTTGAAGTTATCAAAGAGCTTGATGATTACTTTCTCAAAGCTGCTGATGCTGGTTCTCATGTTTCATTTCTGTTACAAGTTCCAACTTCTGGTTTTTCTGATTATAGTAAATCAAGTAAGTTTCACATGCATGTCACCATTTTTTTTTTGTTGAGTCTTTAACCTCTTTGAGATTTGAAATTTTGGGTTTTTTTGTTGAGTGGAGTGTTATTCAATGAAGCAGACAAATTTTTAACTTTTTGTTTATTGTTAATTGCTTTGTGTTGTTTTTGTTCAACATTCATGTTGGTGTTTCATGTTTTTGAATTTTGAAGGTTGTGTTTATAATGTACTTGTTGGTGGTAGGTAAAATGTACGGAAATGGATGGAGTTTGAGTCCATCAATGTGGGCTTGGGGTTCTTCAAGTCCTAAATTGAATGGATTTGGCAAGCTGACTCAGGAGGTTTCTGTTGGTAGTTTTAGGGCTAATAATAATGGTGTTGGAAATGGTGGACATTCCTCTACTGTTGAGAGGCTATATGCATGGGAGAAGAAACTGTACCAAGAGGTCAAGGTGAGTACCTCTTTTTTTTTTTTTTTTTTCCTTCCTATTCCTAGGCCTTAGAAAAATACTCATGTCAAACGATCTCGACGGTTAATTTGAGATACGACGGTTCAGATTATACAATAACAAAATCGGTTTTATATGATTTCGACTGAAATTGGACGATTGAGATTTAAGACTGCGGATCCAAATGTTAATCTGACTTAGAGGATAATTATACTAATAAAAGAAAAAAAGAGAAATAAAGGTTTAAGTAGATTTGTCTTTAGTGGCCATAAATATGATGTGGGTCTAGTGAAGAAATTCTGTTCTTTGCAACAAACATTATGTGGATGACTATGGTTTTCCATTAGTAGTCATGTAACTTTATGTTCTCTCATCTTTTTCAAGTCTCCAAAGTAAGCTTGATTTGATGATTAAAGAAGAAATCTAACCCTTTTATTATTAGATTCATTAGTTGATTTGTTAACTTCCACTAATAGTTTCTTGGGTCTTGTTAACCTGTGCCATAAAGGCACAAACCTTAGGGCACATGTTAAGGAGTACAGAAAAAAAAAATCAGTTTTTAAACTTTTTAAGAAATTGAATTTGCGAGTTTTTAAACAGTGTTTCTTAACTCGTGTGATATTATTTGGTTGGTTTAAGAATGCTAAATTAATAAAGATGGAGCATGAGAAGAAGGCGGCAATGGTAAGGAAGTTAGAGATGAGAAGTGCGGACTATTTGAGGACAGAAAAGGCGAAGAAAGAAGTGGAGAAATTAGAATCACAAATAATGGTTTCTTCGCAAGCCATTGACAGTACATCTGCCGAAATCGTCAAATTAAGGGAGATAGAGCTTTACCCTCAACTCATTGAGCTTGTCAAAGGGTGAGTCTTCTCATATTCTCTACTTCATTTTTCAATTTCATGCATAACTTTACATAGTAAAAAACAATAGCATATATTATTAGTTAAAAGCTAGCAACATGAGTAATATGTGAGTATCTTGTTAAGTGAGTCTTGAGGTTTTCTCTGATTCTAGTTAGCCCTCAGAAACTAATTTGCATAAAAGTTTGCAGATACAAAAAAACTAGAAACCGAGTCTTGAGACCCCTTTACTCAAGTTACAAATTCACGCGGTTAGCAGGTAGCACAACGGTGACCGTTGGATTGAGTTTATAACGTCCATAAAACAAACATGTTTTGATATTTAAAATAACCATTCATAGTATTGAGATTGAAGTTTAGACCGTATAATCTTGATCCAGCATCCACCGGTTTGCTTGCTTAATGACAGTTTGGAAATTCGAGAGCGCGAGCTAACCGTTCTATCCCTTGTGCTTGCTTGGGGGAGCGACAGCTGTTTGCATTTGCTGCATGTAGCAGTAGAGTGAGAGAATCAAGTACTAAGAATTGGTTTAGACTACATGCATGCATAAATAGTATTACTAGTAACAGTAGAAAACAATTGCTCTAAGTTTTAAATTAACTATTTGATAGTTTTTGCTGGATTCAGTTGTGTTTCTCACTTGTTTTTGGGGAAGACAAACCTTATCCTGATAAGTACAATCTGTACAACCAAAATCTCGTTTTCTGAACAAGTGAGATGAAGGGTCTCTAAAACTAACCATATATTATTGCTTTGTACCATAGTGTTTTCCCAATGGAATTTATAAGTGATTTTTTGTAACAATAGATGGGATGTTACCTGCATGATGGTTCTTTTCTGTCTGTTTTCTGCTCATAAATCAAGAGATACTTTTTCCATAACTTTGGCAACTCACTAGTACAATATCCACTGTTTAGAGACAGGTTAATAGAAAAAGTGGTACCTTATTGGGGACAAGTAATTTGACCTATGGCAAATGCTTAAAATTTATATTATTGTCATTTCTGATTTTCTAACAGAATGTGTAGCACTAATAAAATATTGTTTATTATGATTCGGCTCAAATAAGTAATATCAGTCGAAACCGAATAAATGAGTAGTTGATTTTACATGCACATGCATAGCAAATCACGAGTGTTTTAAAATATCGGTTTTAAAATATAGTTGTTGATATTTCATGTTAGAGTCAAATTCATTTTGTTATCGGATAAAATTAGAAATTAGTCTCGTGAGCGTTTTGTGATTCTTGTGTTGGCAGGTTGATGTGCATGTGGAGAAGCATGTATGAGTGTCATCAAGTCCAGATGCATATAGTTCAGCAACTGGAATACCTTAATACCATACCGTCAAATAACCCTACGTCTGAAATCCATAGGCAATCAACGCTTCAATTGGAGCTTGAGGTACAACAGTGGCACCAGTCCTTTTGCAACCTCTTTAAAGCTCACCGGGACTATATTGAATCCCTCTCAGGTTGGCTAAGGCTCAGCCTTTACCAGTTTAGCCGAAACCCTCTTAGCAGAACAACTGAGGAGTCAAAGATATACACTCTCTGCGAACAATGGCACCTTGCCGTTGAGCATATACCTGACAAGGTAGCGTCAGAAGGAATAAAAAGCTTGTTGACAGTTATTCACGCGATTGTAGTTCAACAGACGGAGGAACATAAACAAAAGAAGAAGTCGGACTACGCGTTCAAAGAGTTTGAGAAGAAGGTGGTTCAGCTTAGATCCTTGGAGTGCAAGTACGGTCCTTACTCCATGTCGGAACGGTCTGGTTCTGTGAGAAGAACGAAGGACCCTGTCGTGGAGAAGCGAGCTAAGGTGGAAGCTATGAGAGCGAAGGCTGAAGAAGAGAAAACAAAGCATGAAAAAGCTGTGAGTGTTACAAGAGCAATGACACTAAATAACTTGCAAATGGGATGTCCTCAAGTTTTTCAAGGGATTGTAGGGTTTTCAAGTGTGTGCATGGAGGCTTTTGAGTCTGTATACAACAAAGCTAAAGTTGCTGAACAAGAGCGCGAAGTGAAGAGAATATTACCATAGGAGAAATTACTTGGGTCTGTATAGATAGATGATCAATCCCATTTTGCCCATGTGATATGTAGATTGCAATGTAGCACATTCACTTAAGATTGAAGTCTCGTCTCGTCTTGTGTTCGACGTTGACACCACATCAACAGTCCGCAGTTACATTCAAATATATGACTTTTCAAATTATTACCGATGTCACAGCAGTGTCGAATGTAGATGTTGTATCCTGAATTGTGATCCTGATACCCCTGCAAGAATTAAATCTAATTTCCTTTTTTGACTGTCTTTCGTGTCTACATTTGGTAAAACATAGTATGGTTATGAGTCAAAGCCCACCCTACTGGTCTGACCGGAAAATAAAGTTATTTCTAAATGCATGGAGGGGAAGCACAAGCTGCCAACTTTGCTAGGTGAGGGAGCATAGAAGCAATTTACAATTGGATTCAGTACAATAATGTTGATATAAGTAGATAAACACTGAAGCACTTTTTGCATAGTTCTCTTGTCTCATTCACACTTTTCTTGAAAGGACCATTTACTTTGTTACAAGGACCATTGACCAACTTTGCTTGTTTGTGCATGTTTGAAGATTACTGCTGGAGTTTAGTGTATCATGTGTTTGGTTGTGTTAAAAAATGATTTTATAAAATTGATATTATTTATATATTGATTTTGTACTAAAATTTTAAATGTAGTTGAAGGGGGAGTGGTTTATAGTTTGGATACAATCATGTAAAATGAGTTGGAGGTGAATAGTTTAAGATTGATATTATATATATTGATTTTGTAAAAAAAATTGTACTTAAATCTTCGATCTTCAATGTTGAATTATATCTAACACTATCTCTTAATTCATATTTATTTAATTAAAATCTACAATACCAATTCTATCTTTAAATGGATAAAGTGTTCAGTCTTGATTGATTTGGTCAACACATCTGTCAGCTGCCTCTAAATGTTACAACGAACAACTTCAAGCACTCCACTTTGAATTTGGTTGCACAAAAAATAGAATTTTGTATCAATTTGCTTGCTTCTTCCATGCAGCATTGGATTATTAGTAAGGCTTATAGCTGATTTGTTGTCAATCATCAACTTCACAGGCTTGCTCACCTTGATCTTTAGATCTTGCAGCAAGTTCATAATCCACACAGCTTGACAAGTAATCAAAACACCTACAATGTACTCAGCTTCACAGGTTAACAATGCAACAACTGGTTGCTTTTTGGAGCACCAAGAAATAGGACCTCCTAGATATTTAAAGAAATATCCATAAGTACTTCTTCTGTCAACTTTGTCTCTACACCAATCAGAGTCTGAATAGCACATCCGCTCTGAATCATATTCAAAATCAGAGGGGAGCAAAACTCTATATCTCAATATACCTCAATATCATGACAGCTGCTTGGTAATGTGACCACTTTGGTTTGTTCATAAACCTACTCATCATTCCAACTGCATATCAAATATTAGGTATGGTATTATAGAGATATCTCAATGATCCTACCAACTGTTTAAAAGTTGTAACATCTACATCAGCATCCAACTTGTGATTTGTTTCGGCAGGTGTGATTGTAAACTTGCAATTCATTAGCTCAAATCTCTTAAGAAGCTTAAGTTCATACTTCAACTGATACAAGATTATACCTTTATCAAAGTACAAAATCTCCATTCCCTATAAAATATATCATATTTTCTAGATCAGTCATTTCAAACTCATTCATAAACACCTTTTTAAACTTAACTATCTCATATGAACAACTCCCTGTTAGCAATATGTCATCAACATATAGACACGCCAGAATCATATTGCTATAAGATGTATGCTGAAGATATGCGCCATACTCCATCTTACATTTTCTGAATCCTCGAAGCTTGAAAAATGAATCAATTTTCAGATTCTAGGCTCCAAGAGCTTGTTTCAGTCCATATAAGGCATTATGCAACTTATACATCATCCCTTCCTGATTCTTTTTCACAAATCAACAAAGTTGTTATACGTAAACTTTCTCTTGTAAAGAACCATTCAAAAATGTATATTTCACATCTAAATGCATCAGATACCAATTTCTACTAGCAGCTATAACAATCATCAATCTGATTGTTTCATGTCTAGTTATAGGTGCAAACACTTTAAGTAATCTAATCCAGATTTCTATAGAAATCCTCTAGCTACTAACCTTGCTTTGTTTTTGTCAATTGATCCATCTGGATTTAGTTTCACCTTATAAACCCATCTCACACTGATGGATTTCTTGTTCTTTGGAAGTTCAATCAACTCCTAAATTTTGTTTCTTTCCATATCATCAAGTTCTTCTTTCATGGCCTTCAACTACACTTTTTTCTTGAGAGCTTCATTCGTACTCACTAACTCAGAGTCTACCAACATGGCACACTAAATGACTCCCCCTTCAGAGTCTATCTCAGTATCTCGTAACATGTCAAACTCTGCAAATATTCTTGGTATTTGTATGATTCTTTGTGGTCTTTGAACTTGCTCAAAATCTTCTTCAGATACTAGATTAATATCATATGGTGGACTACCTTTAGGATCTAGTCCACATTCAGAGGCATGACCACCTCTAAAGGCATGATTACAAACATAGTCTGGATCATCATCAGAATTTAGATCAGAATCAGATTCACCTTTAGAGTTTGACTCACCTTCAGAATTTGACTCATCTTCCGAGGTAGAATATCCTTTAGAATATGAAATATCTTCAGAATTTAACTCAGGTGTTAACACTGCACCATAGTTGGATTGAGACTTGTTCCAATCCTACACATCTGATCCTTTTAAAATGACATCTCTGCTGAATTCAACTTTAATAGTGACATGATAATAGAGCTTATAAGCACATGTACTGTGGTACCCCACAAGCAACATAACTCTGTTGTCATCTAACTTCCTTCTCTTAGCATATGGGACATGCTTGTAACAAATAGAACTAAACACCTTTAGATGGATCACACTTTTCTTGTCTCCGGTCCACTTCTCAAAAGGAACAATTTTCTTCAGCTTCTTGGTTGGACACCTATTGAGCACATATGCTGCAGTGACAACAAATTTTCCCCACAAGGTGTGAGGGAGCTTCTTCTCCTTTAGGATGCTCCTTGTCATATAAAGCAAAGTTATGTTTCTTCTTTCAGCAAGACCATTGTGTTGACGAGTGTATAGAGCAGTAACCTCATGCTCAATTCCATTCTCCTCACAGAACCTTCTGAATTTTGTAGAGTTGTACTCATTTCCACCATCAGTTCTGAGAATTTTCAGCTTCTGACCACTTTGTTTTTTAGCCTTCACCTTGAACTTTTGAAACTAAACAAAAAACTCATGCTTAAACATGATAAGTGCTACCCATGTCATCCTTGTGAACTCATCCACAAAGTACTTATTTCCTCCAAATGAATGTACTTCAAATGGTCCATATACATTAGAATGCACTACTCCTAAAGCATATTTTGCTCTTGGAGCTACTTATGACGCAACTGGCAATCTTGATACCTTTCCTTTCATGCATATCTCACATGACTTCGCAGACTTCCCAATCTTAGGAATGCCATATACCATCTTCTTAATACTCAGATGCCCTAAGCTTCTGAAATTCAGATGTCCCAATCTCTTGTGCCACATCTCACTGTCACCTTCAGTATCTTTAGCACTAAGGCATTTAGTTTCAGTTGTTTCTAAATTCACCTTGAAAGTTCTGTTGCTTCCATATTCAGACTGTATAATCAACTTTTGATCAAAGTCATACAACTTTAAGAGATTTTCCTTCATAGTAATTGAGAAACATTTCTCAATTAGCCGACCTACACTCATCAGATTGCTCTTCATGCCAGGACATACCAAACATCCTTGATCATAATAGTTTTTCCATTCTTCACTCTGATTTTGACATTTCACATTCCTTCAGCGTTCAGATACTTATCATCAGCACATCTGATCTTTGTCCTCTTTCTAGAGTTAAAATTAATCAACCATTGTTTGTTTCTAGTTAGGCGGTTTGAGCAGCCAGTTGTTGCACCCCAAATTTTGACCCCTTAGATCCTCATCACCATTTTAGGATCATATTCATTTGATTAACTAACCTTAACCATTTCAGAGTTTATCTTTGTCAAGATGCAGATGAATCAGGGTTCCGTACCGTCAAAATCGAGGCTTCGATGGTTGATCAATCAATGTTTTGGACTGATTCAACTTTAAACAAGATCAAGAATACTACATTGGATCAAGTATGAATCCAATTTGAGGTTGTCACCCAGGAATTGAGAACAGTGCAGTTCAAGATACCCGATTAGGGTTTTCGATTAGGAAAAGTCAACTGTAGTTTGACTTTTGATTTAAAAAGTGTTTCAATGATGGGATCATGGTCCATTAAGTTCCTATGGCTTAGTAAAGTCTATCCGAAGAGTTTCAAGTCCTCAAAAGGTCTAGAGCATGAATAGACGGTCTGATAGTCATCGATCGATCGTACGGTTGACCGAAAAGTAAACTCTTTAACAATAAGGAATTTGACTTTGAGATGTGAATCAAAAATATTCCTTATGTCATATTACACATTCCCATAAAATTTCATGACAATTGGATCAAGGGTTAGGAAGTAATTGCAAAAGTCGGGAATTAAGGTTTTGAAAGGGGCAAGACCATAACTCCTCAACCACACATCCAAATGAAGTGGTTCAAAGCTCATTGGAAAGCTCTTGACAAGTCCTACAAAAGCCTAAAAGTTGTACATGATCAAAAAATGCATAGGTTTGGAGTTATGACAAAATTCATTTCAAGAAGGGAAATAACTTAGAAAATTTCTAAGTTATTTAGCCTTTTAAGTAGGTTTTTTCAGCAACTTGGAAGGGTTTTTCAACCTAGTTCCATCTAGAATTTGGAAATCTCAAAAACATGAAAGTTATAGAGCTACTTGAGGGCTTTCTAAATTGTGGTAGAACTCCTCAATAGCATGTGTGACCAGAAAGTTATGGATCATGAAAGTTAGGGCTGCCACACTTGAGAT